AGCTTAAAGTTCAGATTTCTTTTGTGGTTAGTATTAATCCTTCTTTTTATTATCTAACCATAATAATCTCTTCTCTCATTGTACTAATATGTAATCTTTGGCAGCATTGAACACATTTATGTTATGTCCTACACTGTTGATGATGATTAGACTAATTGCAGTCTCCTTATAAATCTAGATTTGTGAGATCATTTTTAATGATTACAGAAACATCATGATAAAATTTTCAGCATTTTCTATACGTTTCTTATCATATTTTACATAGCGATCATTGCTGAAATCTTGGGACTTGTATTATCCCAGCTTATATGTACCATTGGCTTTGATTGTTGTCGGGTTTGTTTTGGGCTGGTACCACTCAACATCGCTTATCGCCTATGTACGTATTCATCCTATTGGCTTTAATGTAAACCCCGTAAATATTTCGATGACTCATCCATATTCCTATGTATGTATATGTACTATTTTAATCTTATTAATGTATTCGCTAACTCGCTCATTCGTTTGTTTGCCGTTCAGTACTCGCATATTGATTTTTGCACCGTCTGCCTGTGGTTTGGTGGTCTGACTATGGTGTACCAAATAAACGTACTCAACACTTCGTATTCGTCTTCTGATTTATAGACCCGTGAGATACTATTTAGTAACGGTTGTCTGGACGAGCAGCATACGAAGTCTAAGAACACATCGAATACCGATCGACACGAAACTAGTGAGATGCGATCATCACTATTTAACTAGATATTTTATCCGGTTTTAAGGTTTTTAACACTTTAAAATGTGGTTTAGCGTTACGTTACCTACGTTTCTCTACTAAATGTACATTATAACTAGTAAGTCAAGCTACTGAACACCATATCTTGGTACTTTCATTGACGCCTGATAAAAATCATAGCTCAATTTTAACATTTATTAAAATTTTCAGTGGTAATCTCCATTATCTGTAGGTAAACTTCCTGTGTATGAAGATGCAAATGAATACTACTAATGATTGTCAACATTGATAATTAGTCACAGACTTCCTAATATCCTTGAATACTTTTTTTTTCATCATCTAAATTCATCTTATATTATAACAAAAAGAAAATGAAGATATAAATAAAACTAAAATTCAAGCTGTAGCCTATTATCATATATTTATTATGTAAGATTTCATACGTTTTACAAAGTTTCCAATCTAAAAAATCCTTAATATGTTTTGCATTTTTGGATATATATATATCACTCTATTAATAATATTTCCTAATGGATACTTAATATGTTACTATGAGTATATTGAATGAATCTTCATTGTTCTGAACACTAAAAACATGATGATATAATGGAGAGATTGTAATTACTTGTGTTTTTTTTATAACATATTGATTTTCATTATTATTGTTATCACTCTTTTATAATGCAATTAGAGAAGGAGGGTAGTGGACTGATTAGCTCTGCAGTGTAACATCCCATATTGTTAAGCTGAGTGACGTGGGTTCAAAATCACCAAGAGGTATCATTTACTTTAATAATTTATGTACACCTGGGACAACCGACTAAGCAATGCTGTCGTTAGGAAACGAGTACAAGGTAGGGATGGCTAATCAATAGATGAGGTATTGAAACTTCGTCAGTTGAGGTGGTTGGGACATGTGTTGCGTATGCCTAATCACCGATCAATATTTGGTGGTGTATGAATAGCTTGGAAGAAAGCTATGGGCTGCCAAACAAAAACAGCACAAATCCATCAAGTCATCGACAAGTGGAATGAGTCATGGTGGTAGGTGCAGACTACCTGGTTGAGATCCGCAAGATGATAGTAACCTATGGTTACAGACCTTGAATGACATAGCTCAAAATCGTTTCCAATGACTCAAGTGCATTCACTCTTTGCGTTTTCTGTAATTCTAATCTTCAGAATTCGTCATCACCTCTTTCTAAAGTTATCTCATTCAGTTATACTTATTGAATAGTATCTTTGAACCTTAATCTTCTCCATTACCAGTAATACTTCTACTATCTCTACCACTATAGGATTTTTTACTGATAATCGCGTCTCCGTGCTAATGTGATATGGCAAACTGAACTTACGTACGAAATTCCACGTTGTAACTGACTGACTGATATATACACCTTGCTAACGTGTAACAGCTAGTACAAAACGTTGGGCTAGGCCATCCTGCTAACTACCTACAACCACCCAGCTTCTCAACATATTGCACGTTAGGTTGATTCAATTTGACATGTATCCACAATGCTACTTGATCAATAGACTTTTATCTGCACTAAATTACGACTAGACAAACATCACATTGGTTAACTACTAAGTGATTAGTCAATTGTACAATTAAGTTTTTCACCTTTTTTTATTATCTATTCACAATTAGTTTGATTAACTTTACTCCATTATAACGCATTATACAGTTTCTCATGTTGTTCACCTAAATTTTGAAAGCTACATCTTGCTTAACTACACTAGTAATCAAATGATTGTTGTAATTGTTGTAATCAGCTGATTTTTATCAGTCAGATTCAGAACTTGGTGATATTGATTAACAATTTTAATTGTACAGTAATGATCACTATTTCTGTGTAAATTGTAACTGAAGAGTTGAAATTTTTTACTCTGTATAAGATTGTTGATTTAAACCTTCGAAAAAAAAAAACCCACTGATCTGTCGACACTTATGATGAACAGTTTGAAATAGTGTGTTATTGTGGGAAATTTTGATGTAGGATTTATAATTAGAGAGAATAATCTGTCTTTTTTTAAAATAAATTTCATCAGTCACTCACTATACAAGGTATATGAATAAACATTGAAGTAATACTAATTATTTAGTTAATAATAAATAAATCAACTGTTTAGAAAAAAAAAATCCCATGACAAAAGTTACGTTTGCAATAGATGCCCATCATCCATATAATATATAGCCTGGCATTTATTCCATTATAGGCCCCTGAGTTACCGTATCAAAAAATAACACAATAAACTGAAAATAAAGTTAGGGATCAAAATACTATTAATGGCAATGATCAATAGAAAGATTAAAGCTTGTGAATATTCTGATTTGAAAAGACAGAACGAAACAGTGTGACTGGAATTTAAAATTGAGGGAAAGTTTAAAAAAAACGCATCTACGCCATTGTGAATGATTCTATGCTTTGTCACTCACTCACTACTGTCTTCAACTTCTGATTGTAGGTAGTTTGAATCTACCTGCATACTTCGAATCAACGGTTAATTGATTTAGTGCAATAATCCTATTAATAAACGTTTGATATTCTATCTTGATATTATCTTTTATTGTGTTGATGTCGACTGAAATATATATACTAAGGATTAATTGTTTCCAATTAACACGTATATTGAGGATTTATAGCATAATCGTCTCAAAACTTGCCTTCCAAATATTTTAACACTGAAATTATCTTACTAATTTTTAAAAGTTACAATTACAATTCATGAATAAGATTTTATTGAACAAATTTTATGTACATATAATATCGGGTGTAATCTTAGACAGTCATGTTTACTTTATTTAAGCAATTTAAAAATCATTTATCATTATTCATAGTTAGTAATCAATACTGAATATATCTCCAATGATTATTGATTTTTAAGGTGCTAATGACCATGAATAGAAAATGTTTATTTCTTCTTTATTATTTTCGTTATATATTTTTTTACTATCGTTAATCATGATGATTTTTCGAAGAAAATCGATTATACCAGATTATTACGATTGATGATGACGATCTTTCATAGAAGTGATTCTACTCGATTATTGGTTAATCCTATCTTTATAATTATTGATTGGTATCCATTGGAAATTAGTAATTATTTAATAGGAAGATATTTTATGAGTATATTCTACAATCAAAATAACGACTAGGTTTCAGTCCCAAAGTGTTGGACCTATAGTTTCAAAGAAACTGACCACTGGGTGGAGAATTAATAATAACAGTAATAATTTGTGGTGATACTCGATTGGTAGAAATTTGTACTTCTGACGTTTCGTGACTTAATCTAAGCCACTTCTTCAGAGTAAATAAATCACTGTATAAACTTATGCAACGAAGCTCTCACTAAAAGAGCTGAGGCTATCTCGTTGTTTTTTACGTGGTGACACTTTCCCGATTCACATTTCAACAACCCTGTCTTTTTTCTGCTAATTTTGTGCCCTAAGTTCGCTCGGTATTTCTATTTGGAAATAATTGTTCTATCCCAGTTTTGACTTTCATTCAGAATATTAATCTAGCCTAAAAGTCGTCTTTTTTTAAAACTTGTATTAACATGTGAATCACTAATATTGAATTGTTACTGTGTGACATTTACTACTAAGTATATTCTAGTCTCTATCCGTTTGGGTTCGCATTTAAACAATCTTAAACGTTTCTTAGTTATCAGTTGCTGTAGGTCCGCTTCGGAATCAATCTCCAATCACAAGTTTGTTCTTTTGATTTCTTCAAATACATTACAGCCTATTTCAATACATACTGTCAATAAGTGTAATCCTGTTTCCTTGACGTGGCACTAGTCAATCTCATTGCTCGGAAATATTCCTTACATCACAATAGAAAGTCGATAGTAATTACCAGTGAACTATGCATTCGACATCTTGTGTGTGTGAGAAAAAAGCGTTGCTACTTATTCAAGGCTGCTAGATGAATGAATCCCAACTGCTAAAGAACTTAGATCACGTCTGTTTGTATAAGATTGATATTTATCCTAGTTCATTTTTTCCAAAGTATCCTAAGTTCAATTTCGCATTTTAATAACCTTTTCCATTCATTGTTGGTTTGATGTGCGCATTAACTCGGTCTGAAACATGTGTTGCACAAGGATCTTTAGTGTTCAGTATTCTTGTTTATGTTTTTATTTCCTACAAGTATTCATTGACGTACGGATTTTTTGGTACCCGATCGTATGTTAGAATAAAATGGTTTTCGTACTTGAAATAATACAAGATTCTAAATTTCACCTCATACTAATTCTATTCCTTAAATTTATTAAACAGATCAACGGATGATCCCTTTACTCTTGTGTGTCCTTCACAGGATGATTCATCTACAACCATGAACCATGGCAACGATGCTGCACTTATAACTGTAAGTGAAATTAGTTCATAAACTTAGAAACTTCAATGAATATGAGACATTATTGTTAGACATAAAGCTGAATTAAAATAATACCATTCATTAGGTAATGGAACCGTTGTACTTTTAATCGCTAAGATCCAGCTGAATCTTGATCCTCATAGTGACCTAGTCCTTTAATCGTACACAGCCCGATTTGCTACAACACTGACAGTAGCCACACATCCGGTAGTTATGTTCATGTTCAAGGAAATACTTTGTGTTAAACTTGAAGTGTAAAGGTCCTTAACTTCATACTACCTGATTGCCAATGAAAGGTTAACATCTGCGACCCAGTAGCTGAATTTGAGTGATTAACCACAGTAACTAAACTGAATAAATCAGGTATCGTTTAATGCATTTTACTAATACGACAATTATATTTGCTTGTTAGGAATAGTTTTTTGAATGCCTAAATTTATTTTTGTTACTTTCCTACTCAGTTTCTGTAACATAAATTATCTACACTTTTCAGCTTGATCCCGTTTCTCCGACAAGAGCCGCCCCACAGACGCCTTCAAGACAAATACCCCCTCCATTACCACCTCGCCCAAAAGCCGAAGCAGAATAGTTTCTGAAACTGGACACGAAAATCGGTTAATTTGGTGATTAACTTTTGACTTATTTATCAGCATTTAACTTTGAGTTGTGAATCACTTTATCATTACTATCATTCCTATATTTTATATTTATAATTTAAGCTCATTCGATGCTAGAATCAACTGTTTACTTATAATTATTCTATTAAAGTGGTATGCTTTTACCACGAAATGAGTTGTAAGAATAAACACATGGTTATATCATGAATAAATACATTTAAAATAAAGGACTGAACAATGCATTTTCGTTTGAGAATATTACAGTTAGCGCCGTCTTATAGATCTACTAGAACTTCTCGATGATGACCAACTACGACTTGAGTTCCTCCCACGACGCGTTCTTCGGTGACGACGTTTATGACGACGAGCACTCGGGCTATGAGATCTTGAGTCCCTGGAAAACGACCTGGAACGCGATCTAGACCAAGAACGATTACGACTTGGATAGCTGGTACGCGTGCCCCAATTCGTCGAAGCTCTTGTTGAGAATGAACGAGAACGTGATCTCGTATAATATGAACGACTAACTGGAGAGTAGCGTCCACGACTAATTCTACCTCTGCTTCTGGAGTCCGAAAAGTCACTCCTTTTGATTTTGCGTGCCGATGAGCTTATGGACCGAGACCTCTTACGAGAACGCTTAGGTCTGCTAGAACTTCTTGAAGAGGAAGATGAAGAAGATGAGGAAGAACTTGAACTAGATGAATGAGATCTTCCTCTGATTGCAGCCGGCTTTTTGACCTGAAATTGACAAACAAGAATGTTCTTTTAGTATGTTAATCGAAGTTAGGAAATCAGTAGCGCTAATATACAGGGACAATAGTCGAAATACAAGCGGCATCGTTACAAAACTTTAAAAATTACTGCATTGACCAGTTTGACACATTCAAAGTTACGGCTTAGTTAAGATCAGTCAATTCGCCAGTTTGTTGCTTTGAGAAACTGTCATCATCAAAATAAAACCTTATAAAAGTTTGAAATTTTTCTACATAAACAATATTTAGCTGCAGATCCTTGAAAATAACAATATATACTGAGTGGTTTTCAGAAAAAGGCAAAGTTCATACGCACAGCATATTACTTATTTTCCGTAAATCGAATTATGTAGGATAAATAAACGAAACACAAACATACGTGATTTTTAGATATTGGAGGCACTTGGGGCTTGATCATAGTTGGCACAGTCGGGATAGGCGTAGTTTCATAAGAAGCAGCGGTTGAGTTTTCTAGTTTTTCCTTAGAAACAATATCGGCAGTCGGAGAATCCCCACCTTTACTTAATTGTACTTCATTCTTAGAGGAATCTTCTTGTACAGCACGAAGTCTCTGTAAAACTGAAATACCATTTGAACTTTGTGTTTTCGAAATAGCTGGTTTCTTTTCATCTTTGTTTGCAGACTCGTCAAGTTCCGCTTTATCGCCTGCTTCCCAATGCTTGCTAGTCCATGGACCTGATTGTTGGTTTGTATTCTTCTCTATGATTTGAGGGGAATTTTCCCATTTACTGGTCGTCACAGTATTCTTTGAAGCAAAAACACAAATAAATGAAACTCTTGTGTTCAGACAATGAATAAAATCTTAAGAAATTATAATAAATATTACTGCATTTTCGTTGATACAAATGAAGCCAATTAGTTTTATTGGAATCAATCTCTGTACAATCACGTGGTACTAGAGATTGTGCTGAAACTGATTGTGGATGAGACCACAGAACACTATTTGCAATAGACCATATCAATAGCACTCCTTTGTGTTTATGAAAATCCTGTTCAGGAAGTCTCGATAAGTTGTTACAATGTGCTAATTCTTCCTAAAATCACGTGACCATTTAGAACAATTAAATTGTAAGGAAAGAGAATTAAATTTTTAAGAGATATTTCTGCAATTCAGCTTACTTCGGTGGGTGGATCTTCCATAACAATTTTAGGTTTCCTGTGGAAAAAAAACAAAAGAAACGTACTAACATTCTGTTTGGATATATATATATATATATATATATATATATATATATATATATATAACAGTAGACAGGCTTATAAATGAAACCGGTGTTAAAAATCCGACTGCTATTGACACTGTCTCGAATAATTATGGACATATTATTCATTTTCAATCCAGACTGATTCTATTGGTAGAACACTTTAGGGAACAGTTCGACTGGCCTTCAGCCACACTTAAGTTACTCACGATCTTCAGTCAACCTCAGGGGCAATTTGATGTGAGTGATCTGAATCTTGATGAGGTTGAAAAGGCTATGAGAAATCTGGAAAGGAAGAGCAGCAGTATAGTCCTATTAAACTACCCAATGTGCTATTAGTTTGCTGACAAATATATATCTAGGAAAGTCTTGACTATAGAGAAATGGATAAAGGAATAAAACCAAGGGTTAGAGGAGTAATAGTTCTGATAGCGTGTTCATCATCATTGTTAGTACAATGATTTTCCGAAAAGGTGCATTGGGAATCACTAAGCTGAGGTTATATCGAAATCGGTGAGATTTTATGTTTTGGAGCTGGGTCTTTACAAGAACAAAACGTCTGGACCACTGGAAAACAATGATTTGAGTAAAAATGAGTATACAGATATTCCCATGACACAAGCGTTGTTTAGAAAATTAGGAGGGCGAGAAGTTCACGCCGCTTAAAACGAATTGGTAGGTATGGAGGAGGGAGTTAAAAAACCCTGGTTCCGAACGAACGATGCACATGAACTCAAGGATACTGAGCGAACAAATGGTTTATGAACCTATTACTGGTCAACAATTACCATACGAGTGCATCTCTTGACATTGCTCCACTACCTTGTGGGTTAGACCCACCTATTTCGGTTTGAGCTGCGAGACAGTATATAAGCCCACACACGAATTCATTGGTTTGTGTAGCGCATAAATATTTAGGTGTATTATGTATATAATGGAAGGGAAGGGAACGTAAAAGTCAGTAGCTGAGACATGGTGTTAGTACTTCATGAAAAGCTAACATTAACATTAAGATCCTGTTCCTCAAACTTTCTCAATGTATTGGTCATGGTAACTTTATTAAATATGTAAAAACTGAATTTAATCAGACTGGTAGCACTAGTCAGCCCATATTTTACATTTTTGACGTTAACGTTTTTGAAAATCTTCATTGCAAAATTGTTTGACTATGAAAACACTTTCGAAACTGATGAGAAATATAAAACTTACTGTATAGTCTGACCTTTCTTAGTTATCACGATGATGGGTTTACTAGGTGAAGTGCCTCTGTGTTTCAATCCAAAGCTTTTTGGAGGTGAGCGACTATGTGATCTTGAACGCGATGTTTTCCTGTCATGACTTGAACTTCTTCTCCGACTTCGAATACTTTCTGTTTCAGGAGAACCACGTCTCATAGTTGACTTTGTACGGCCATGTGTATACGAACCTGATTTAGAGCGTGAGCTTGAGGATCGACTTCGCCGGCGGCTCGGGATGGAACGTGATGGTGACCGAGAATGTATGTGTGCACTCCTTCCTGATAAATGTCGTCTTTCAATCCCGCGGAGACGATCTTCTGATGACCCAGAAGGTGCATAAGCTGCTACAGACGGGGGTACAACGCGGCGTTTCTGGTTAAGCATTTCACGACGCATTTTCCACCTATATAAACATAAAATAATAATAATAAACATATAAAATTATTCAATCCAGAGATATTAAAATGTGGCTTGTTAATTGTTAGCATCATCACACTAAAGATCGTATGCTTTTAATGTAGCGTGTTGTCTGAACGATCACTATATGCCTATAGAACCGTAATTCGCCACGCTAATTTAAACCTCGAGCGAAATAAATCAGAAGTCTCAAGAATTCTTGGTTAATAAAACAGTAAGGTAAAACAACACGTACTTCTCAACGAGATGGGGTGGAGGACTGCGAGGAGCTCGTCGGCGTCGTTTTTTAGGGCTTGTTTGAGAGTGCGAACGAGAACAAGATCTAGAGCTATCCGATTCGCAACTGGAGTTTGATCTGGACCCTTGAGTAGAACTTCGAGAAGCAGACCGGGAGCCACGAGTAACTTTCAAGTGTTTATCTGAATGTGAAGGTGAGAGCTGTTTTCTAGGTTGTTCTGGTGACGGAATCGTCTCCAGTATATGTAGGTTAGATTCTTCTGAAAACACTTTACCTTGTTCTTTATTAATATCTGGTGGTTGCGGTGTCGGGATTCTAGAAAGTTCGGGAGAAATCTGAAAATAACAAATGAAGTGAAATGGACATGAACCTGTATCAGAACATTTAACGAGATAACTGCACCCACCTTCATTCAATGATACGCTATATTTTAACTGTATATAATATTATATAATACTATAACCATATTGTCATTCAAATAATTACGATCTTTTATATCTTTTTATTGATGAGGATCATGTATCGCAACCATGAGACAAGACCCGTTAGTGATTTATGCCCTACTTCTAATAGATGTAGATAATTTCGGTACCAAAAAACTATGAGTACTGGACAGTCATAAACAAAAAATCATTTAAGTTTGGTAAATTCTTTTTAAAATCTTACTTCGAACACGACGCGATTGTGACAAAAGCCAGCATTAACTAAGAACTATAAACTTATCCAAGACTAACCTAATTATAATAGACGTGGATTGGCGAAAAACTATAATTTATTCATAATCAGTTTATTCCTTACTTGATTTCTATTTGGGAGATTCGGAGGTGAAGATATGTGGGCGTTCTCATTGGGAGGTGATGGCATACGGTTGTTGGAATCGGCAGTTAACAGAGGGGATGGGTAAGGGATACGAGATGGTGAGATTATAATATGTTGGTCAATAGGAACCTGACTTTCAGATGTCGGAAGCTTCGGTGAAAGCATAACAGGGGATTTTGACTGATATTTCTGCTGTTGACCGGAAGTACATGAATTGGCTGGGGAAGCGAGTATCTGTTGTGGGGATTTCAAATTTGGGGACCCAGAATACTTTCCAGGGGACTGATTGCTGTGATACACTTTTGGTGAGTCGCTTAAGTCTATCTTGGGTACGTCACTTGACTGACAGAACAGAAAAAAACTTAATTAAAATAATTTTCAATAAAAGATATAATGTAAAATGATGAATAATCCAAAAGTTTGACATTAGCATTATAATACTATAATTGCTCTTCAGTGTTTATTGTTTGCTTACACTGGAATGTGGTAGTGCTAGATTGACAAGCATAAAAGAGAAAACAATATGCATTTTAAGAATAGATCTGATTATGTATAGAAACTAACTATTAGTTCCTGAAGAAAATTAAGCTTTTACACGGCTAGTTACGTTCAAAATAAAACTAACAAATAGCCTGAATAGTTGCAATTAGGTAATGGTATAACATTAAAATGTTAAATAGTTACGTGCTTACCTTAACTGTTGAATATTCTGAAAATGTAGAGAGTTTTGGAGACTCTTCATGAGTATTGGTCGGAAGGGTCTTAAACTTAGCATCTTCATCGACATCTACCATATATTCGTCGTCTATTTCTGACATACGTTGGTTTGTTCGCCGATCTTTACCAAGTACATCCTCAGACACTGACGTCTGACGTATATCTTCGGGAGATCTAACATAACGCCTGTCACAAGAATCATCAGGTTTACCCTGGTACTCGATATAAATCTCTTTTTGTACAGTTGAGACTGGTGATACATTATTTTGTGTTGGTGAAGAACCATTTTCCACTAATTTGGAATCATTTACTAAAACCCGACTAAAATATATGCAAAACGAACATTAAAAAATGATGAAGCATTTCTGAAAGATAATCATAATTGTCGACTATCACTGACTTCTAGATAATTTAAGAGCATTTCTCATAAAACTAAATGATAATCAAAGGCTAAACTATCCTTGCATCAGCTACTTTATACGTTAACAAATCTTAACTGAATATAAAAGAATGTTCTTAACTGCGACGAAATACATAACGCAGTGTCAATATTGACTTCTAAACTAATCAACAAGACCGAACACTTTTGGATACTTCATAGAGTGATGCATAGCAGTAAAAAGCATCATATAAAAACAGATAATGCTTAGAGAAACTCAACTACATGAAGATGAAGGGTATCTGAAAAAATATACTTTTTACAAGTCTTAATTGCAGTGTGACTTACTTATACCTGTTAATTAGAACACAACCAAGTATATTGACAACACTTATATAAACGCACTTTGTACAAAATTTTCGTCATAATATAAAGTAGTATTAAGAAATACAGATATCTGAATGTGCTTAGCGGAAAATGTAGGATTGTCCTAACTGGTAAGTAATGAGTAGGGTTATAAAGTGAGCGAAAGGTACAGGTACTTGACAACATCAACTGCTAAATCGAAATGCTGTCATGAATGTTTTCGATAATCGATGATTGCCTAAAGGGTTCTAACACTAAAAAACTTTTACCAGAATCTTGACGAGGGATAACCAGACTTTAAATTCTATATTTGATAGAGTTAACATGTTAAGCGTTTTCAAATAAGAAAGTGTATTGCATTTAGGGATTAAACATAGACAGAATATTCAAATTGAAGTCAGGAAATGGCAGGACACCTACGCAACTGGCGATGGCGAGTGACTGGAGGAACGCTGTTTACGGACATCTCGTTGATCGATTGAAAACCCTTTCTCTGAAGAATCAATATCTCTTAGATTGCCAGAAAAATCAGTATCGGCTATGACGACAGATGACGGTGAAGCGCTTGGGTTTCTATTACGACTTGCAGCTATAGATGGAGAAAGTGGATCTTGCCTACTTCCACGTGATGAATGGGATGATGATACTCTTCTCCTGAAAGGAAAATAGAATAAATAAATTTCATATCGAAAAAGCACATAAATACGCTACAGAAAATTGGGACAAATAATTTTTGCAAAGCTATGATTTCATTTAAATCCTATTTCATGAGTTTTTAACAACAGTGACCAAACAATTCAGACTCTCAGTATGGATTGTGGACTGTTGAACTTATATCAGTTCGTGGTTCTAATGAAACTCATATTCTAAATGAAGTTTGAACTCATTTTAAATGGTGGGTATTAGTTTGTCGGTGTTTTCTGTTATAAATATGTGTATGAGATTTATTTTTTGAAATCTGCTGCCCTTGGGAGTTCACATTAGTAGACAGTTACATCACTCTATAAATCATAAAGTACCAATGCACATACTGTATATTGTTTATCTGTTCGTGATTCCGTCGTTCACTCCATTGCTTCCAATCATTTTGATCTAATCTCTGGGTATGAGAACTTGCTTGACGCCAGTGAGGTGGGGTAGTACTACGTTCAGGACTTCCCGAACGAGAGTTGGGGCTTTGATAACACTGGAATAAATATAGTATAGATCAAAGTTAGAAAAAAACTAAAAAACTTTCAGTCAGTAAGTGCTTATTGCTAGAAAAAATGCAGTTATGAAAACAGATTAATATCTGGATCAGGCCATAATATACAAGACAAAAAGGATTGTACCGTGTTTTTGATGTAATGTAGTCAGTATTTTAAAAGGATTGACTCCTTATCACACCGATTAAATCAGCAGAAGAATTAGGGCTGTCTACCGAGACAGTTATGATTACTGATGTAAAACAAAGCAGGTGCCAAATATTTTGACATAATCACTATCACCTTGCATGTCGGTTTTGAACCATAACCCGTTTAGCAGTTTTTAAACATCCTTAAGACTGTCACTCGGTTTAAGAGCCTGTTCAAGAAAATTAGCAATACAGGGATAAGAAAATAAGTTAGTTTCATTTATTGAGTACAACCTCTGTTAGCTATTCGTTTGTGGCACAGGATTAGGCATAAATGAACATCTATCCAAGTTACGGTTTTATGTAATAACTGAGAACTGTTTCGTGAGCCTGCGATTCTACCCGGTTGCCCGAATCTTGGTACTGTAACCCAATATAAAGATATAGATTCATACTAGGATTTAGACCACTTCTGGAAGTTTTATTTTGTAACACAACGGCTTAAAGTATCTAATCCAGAGGTAAAGCAACATAAACATTATAAAGTGAAGTAGTACTCAAAGTTTTTGTTCAACGATTAAAAGTATGGCACAGAAATCACTGAGCTAGTGTTAGAGGTGGATTCATCACACTGACTGGTCGTTGAATAGTAACCAATGTCGTATCTCTCTAGTTCTTAGTACTGGTCAAGTCGCAATGTGGCCACTAGTGATTTGATACTGGGTGCACTTATTTGGTGATAGGTATGAAACTCTGAACTTGAGAAGCTTGGCAGTAACGTTTCTGACACAAGCTTACACACGGCATTGGTTAAATTAGGATTGTAAATATAACATATCAATGAATACTAATTAGCACATAATCTAGGTCCGAATGTCTCTACAGATTTTCTGAAACCACTCAGATATCATATTCAATTGTGAGATGAACAATTACAAATGGGTGTAAACAGTGAATGCAACTTACGATTCGTCCACGTCCTTTGACTACTCGACCCGAACGATCCTCTTGGTACCGACTACGCGCAATTTCGCGGTTATCCATCTCGTGCCTAAAAAAATAAAAACTTGTTTAGTTTTGTGATGACTAAATCAGACTGTCTGCATAAACTAATCTTATGGTCCAATTATACATAATTTACTTATTTCGATAAATAAACAAAACTAAAGCAATATGAAGACCCATTTACTGAGCACAGATATATGCTGGAACAAGAGTCAGAGTTTGTGTGCGAGATAAGTGGATGAATAAACGGACATGAAACACTACATGGAAATGCATTTTTCCAAAGCCTTAAAAGAATATTAAACGTAAGGTTGTCAGATTGTTGCCAAAATTAAGTGTGAACAAACGAAAGCACTGCTCTTTAGACGAGTTTTGATGAGATTATAATAGTATTTAAAACTATGTACGTGAATCGGAGTGACGACAGTACTGCATACATATTGAACAACCATGGTCCAATACTCATGTGACTTGAAATCTATTATCTAAGTCGAGAAGAGCTGAATAAAGTGGCCTTTTTTACCATTGAGCAAAAACAGTCAAACATATTATTAGTATGGAAATACAATAGCAATATGAGACCCACCTGGATTCAACTGAGTAATTACTGAGGCGTGCTGAAATACTGTTGAGCAAAAGTAATACAAAGCATTAGACTTAAGTCGTAAGAACAATTGATTAGGCTAACACTACAACTATATAACGTCTAGAGGAAGGCGTGTGAAATATTAACAAAAATAAAAGTAACAAACTAAGTTCCCTGACTTCGACCTACTCATGAAAGAAACGTATAAAATTTGAAGAGAGGACACCTTGACATTCCCAAACGAAACAATGATTATATAACGTCGTTATAGTACCTGAAATAATTGGCCGAGGTAAGGTCCCTAAGATCCCATAGCTATTGTGGTACTTGGATTATAAGGACGACTCTTGAAGATTACAGCCTTTATTGCGGAGAATTTACAGCAAAATTTTAGATAAAAGTAGATTCGTCAGGGCGGATACATGAGAAGAGTAGACTACACAGATCACAAAAAGTAACCATCAAAAATCAACATGCAAACACACCGTCTTCTTTAAATCTATTTCTTGATCGATGGTTTAGGAAACGTACCTTGACTTCACAGAATTAAGTTGATTTCCACTACATAAATTTTCGATTCAGATCGCTGACTGAATAGCCTAAAAGGCACAAGTGCATAAAACATCTAAGTCAGCTGCAACAATTAGCTAGTCTTAACCCAATATGTTAAGTAATCTACTCTTTACAGTTATATTCAGCATTAATTTTCAAAATATAAAAGAGAATTTATGACCAATACCTTGGACTAAGATTCACTTTCTTTGAAATTTCTAGTTGATCCTCTTCATAGTTCCCACGATACAGGAATTTCGGTGGAGGAACTTCAGGTATTTCCTCTTTGCGAACACTGCACTCATTCTCTACGTCGCTTTCGCTAAAGAATCGTTTTTACGATAATTTTTCTTACCTATCAGAAGACTCCTCGCCCTCACTTAATTTCCGTTTTTTTTTCTTTGCCTTCTTGACCTTCTTCGACTTTTTTCCACCACCTATTATCTTACTCTTTTTAACTACGAAGCTTTAGTAGAAAATTTGAAGACTTACCAGGGATAAGTTCACCGCAAGATTCAATCACTATCGATTTTACCGGGCGATGGGCCTTAGTGTCGGATATTGGAACAGCTTCGATTTTCCTGACGACATCTTCTCCTGATATCACATGGCCGAACACCACATGTTTCCCATTCAGGTGAGGTGCGGGAGCAGTCGTACTAAAATTAGTTAGTAGTAAAATTTAGCGTTACATAAAAAATTGAGAACCGTTAGTATTGGGCCCCCTGTTTGCCATAGAAAGCAAAAATGGCCGGTCGTGTTCGGTCGTAAGACATTCATCTTGGAATATAAAAATTTTTACTCGTCATCTTACCAGCAAAAGTGCCTCCATAAATTGATTCACCTCCAGTTCCATCTCTATTGCTGAAATCACCGCCTTGTACCATAAAACCTTTTATAACTCGATGAAAGACGCTCCCCTGATAAGTTAGTGGTTTCCCCGTTTTCAGGCCCAAACCGCAAATACCTAAGCTAGTTAAGAAGTAATAATATAGCGTACCTTGACATAACTTCTTGAAATTCTCAGAAGCTTTGGGGCAAATATCATTAAACAGTTCAAATACAATACGACCAACTACAACATATCAGTTAATTTCAGATAATAAAGCGTACTTGGTTGCGAATCAATCTTTATATCTAAGTAACAGCGTGTCTTAAATTTATGCTTCCCCATTTAGATGACAATCTCGCGTACCAACGAACGAACAATAATGGCGTACAGCACTAGGTCATAGAAATAGGTGCATTAAAAGTAGGCCATTAAACAACCAAAATCACTCATGATATAAAAGTTAATTAATTTTATTAAAGATAACTAAAATACCATCTATGAATGATAGTTTCTTATTTTCTCAATATCCAATATTCTTTTTGCTAGCTAGTATAAACCAACTGATATCTTTGTGCTCGGTTCTTGTTATTTCGATGCGGTTACAGGAATCTGGCGATGTGCAACAGATGATATTCTAGACTCTTGACTATACTCATTCTAGTCAGTTGGCTCTTATTAATGAATTTATATGTACATTATTTGAGTTAGTGGATTTGCCTCACGACAGTAGGGTTTCTGGATACCAGCAGCTTTCATATTGCAAGGCCGGAGATCATTTCGTTGCACTGTGAAGAATGACGAGTGGAAAATTCTGAAGCTATCGAGTAGATTTCAGGACTAAATACATAAATAGGTTAATTAGTTGGTAGTGAAAGATGTGGTCGTGATTTTTTGGTAGCATGTTAGTATCAGGATGATTTTGCTCAATTAATTTGCTGTGTATCATCATCAAATCATCTCCAAATCTCCTTTAACTAAGCGGGAATAATCTCAGGTGCTGGATTTCGCCTTCGTAAGGTTTATTCTTTATCCCTTTCGCCCATCTAGTTTCCATGCCCGGACTCTATCCGATAGGGTGCGACGACGTTGTGAACATCAAGGTGTGGTGGTGCTTACGTTTTAAAGAGTTAACTGTGGGTTGGTTGCACCAAACCGTCTACGCGTTAGCCTAGGCTGCATCCTCCAGTTAGCTTAACGTTGTGTCCAGGCTCTTTGTGTCCTTCAGATGGAGATCGTGCTCTGAGGAGACGTGAGAGAACGGACTACCAAGGACGATGTTAGGTGTTTATGTAACATAGAGCGAAATGTCCAGTAAATGACATACCGACAGGTTGAATCTAAACCCCTCTGTCAGGTGTTCATTCTTCTTTTGCTGTAAGGTCATTTTAAAGCTTAGTCAGACCCTCTTTGCTCTATATGGACTTCCAGATCTTTAAATAATCTGCATACATTATTGCTGCTGAGCTGATTTGATGTAAATAATAAATAATGAACATCCGAAATAGTAGTAGACCTTAGATGGTCCCCTACGAAACTCCTGATTTTGAGGCTCACCAATTTACATGCCATCAGTCTGCCTTGGTACAAAGCTTTCTGTTTTGTTGGTAGTTTCTGAGACAATACATGAATGAACCAGCTCAGCCAATCTTCGGAACTTCGCTATTGGGAGTACGTGAGGTACTTGGTCGAATACTCTCGCTAAGAAAATGATTATTATATGAACCATTAGCTGTCCCATGCTATGAGGACAGTGGATAAACACAATATGCATCTCCTAAACCTGCGTTGGGAAAAACGGCAGGTGTTGTTCCTAACGGTGAACACCCTTATTTACCGATTGACCAGTCATTCCCTTACCTTCGAAAATATTGAGAGTAATGTCAGTGGACTGTAACAGGCTGGTTCTTTCCTATCTCCTCCTTTGATAATCGAAGAGGAATCAACTAGTTTCCATTAAACTGGAAGTTAGTGGAACTTCAGCGAATGATAGAATAGGTCACATGCTGGTGAATTGAATGATTAGGCACACTGTTCCAATTTTACAGGGCGAATATTATCACATTCTTGTGACTTTCCTGGACAGAGGGATTTCAATTTTTCTAGTACTTAGTCAGGAGTAAGTTAGATATTTATCGGGCCATGGGCTGTTCCTAAATGTGAGTAGTACTATGAACTTGTAGGTACCTAGTTTAACTGGTAAGTGGAGCAGGTGTTACAGATCTCAGCCATTTCACCACTTAGACATTTAAGAGCACAAATACAATGGTTTGGATGTTTTATTTTTGTCGTGACTTTGGTAAACATGACTAAGCCATGACCACTACTTCTTACTAGTGTGTACATGGATATCCTTCACTAAGAGCTGATCATTTGTGAACGAATAATCGCAGCTATCATTAACCAGCTCAGGAACTCTGTGACTCACCATACTGGTCTGTTCTTGGCTGTCTAGTAATCCAGAAGCTACTCATACTAACAAGGGTTTGTCTTGCCGGACTCGAATTGGGACGGAGAGTTTAGCCGAAGTTCTTTGAGATGCAAGAAGGGTTTCTCCTGCTACCTGTGTCAAATCTAAGGTTACCATCAATGTAGGGGTTTTTCATAAGCCACATCCAGACCGTTAAACGGACAGCGTTTTTTGGAAGGAACTCCGCCTCCAGCCCTTCTGAGGTGGCTGCTGGTCCCATGCAGAATATAATAGGAGAGTTGAGCTTGGGCTTAGCGACCCAATGTCGTAGAAAATCTATTCTTTAAATTAACTGTCACCAGAAAAAATCACTCATACCATTTAAACTGTGTTTTGAGATTTGGAAGGTCTTCAATTAGAAGAGTTATGAGGTCTGCTCATCAAAGCAGAGTTTCTTCGGAATCCACAAGGCTGATGCCCCTTCTGACATCCGTAACTAGGAGTAAATACCCATGACAGGGAAGTTTGGATAATATTGGTCAGCGGCCTATGCTTGAGAACTGGCAACAGGTTCAGATTGACAGATAGTGTGGTCGAAGTACTGCTCATTTCAAGTACTTAGTTGTATCTGTATTGCTGTATTTATCAAGTATAGCCCTGATTTCCAGAAAGCTTGCCCCGGACACTGGAACATTATATCAAGTAAGTGAATCTTGTCTAACATTCCTGTCCCTTATTTGTGGCATTTTGGAGTCGTGGTGTTACAGTTCCAATATCTTAAGCCTACACACTGCTCGATTCATTCAACAGATACTGAAGTATCTACAACAACCAGTGATTTCTTCGGCGTATCACCTCGGGTTGTTGCCTGTATGATCATTCTCTTGTCGAGCCAATTTGGCTTACTCTTGGGGGTCGATGGACCTTTCGGTGGGGCTGTTGGCTTCGCTGTTGTTAATTTTATTGGCTGAATGATTCCTCACTTTCATCAAACATATCAGAACCAAAGCGTTTTTTTGGCAAGTTAGTTTTTGACGGAATGGGGTCGCCAACCCCATGTCCAACCCTCCTCCTTTACCCGGGCTTGGGACCGGTAGTAGCCCCGGAGGTTCTACTGGCGGATCGATCGTGTACTGACCAAATTGCTACATTACGGATCATTGTGGAACAATCAATTGAATGGAACTCACCACTCTACATCAACTTCATCGACTACGAGAAAGCATTCGATAGCGTGGACAGGAAAACATTATAGAGGCTTCTCCGACACTACGGTGTGCCTGAGAAGATAGTCAACATCATACGGAATTCTTATGATGGATTCAACTGCAAAATCTTGCACGGAGGTCAGCTGACAGACTCCTTTGAGGTGAAGACCGGTGTCAGGCAAGGTTGCTTACTCTCACCCTTTCTCTTTCTCCTGGTCATCGACTGGATTATGAAGACGTTTGCATCTGGAGGGAAGCACGGTATCAACTGGACAGTTAGGATGCAGCTAGACGATCTGGACTTCGCAGATGACTTGGTTCTTCTATCTCACACGCAACAACAAATGCAAGTGAAGACGACCAGTGTAGCAGCAGCCTCTGCAGCAGTAGGTCTCAACATACATAAAGGAAAAAGCAAAATTCTCCGATGCAACACAACATGCACCAATCAAATCACTCTTGATGAAGATTCCTTGGAGAACGTTAATACCTTTACATATCTGGGCAGCATCATCGACAAGAAAGGTGGATCCCATGCAGATGTGAGGGCACGGATTGGCAAAGCAAGAGCTGCGTTTCTACAGTTGAAAAATATCTGGAACTCCAAACAACTTTCAACCAAAACCAAAATCAGCATTTTCAATTCAAATGTGAAGACAGTTCTACTGTATGGAGCGGAAACATGGAGAACTACCAAAGCCATCATCCAGAGGATACAAGTGTTTATTAATAGCTGTCTACGCAAAATACTTCGTATTCGTTGGCCAGATACGATCAGCAACAACGTACTGTGGGAGAGAAGGAACGAGATTCCAGTGGAGGAGGA